CGTCTAGACGAATTGCTTCGTAACATCGAGCTAGGCAGCCACTCAGCTACTGAAGTCCTCGCACGCATGCGAGAAGTAATCGGTGCACGAACATTTGACGATGGTTTCTTCCGAGAACTATTTCTCTCGAAACTACCACAACCGGTGCAAACCGTGTTGGTGACACTCCAGTCAGTCCCACTCGACGACCTGGCAGCTTCAGCAGATAAAATACTGGAGATATCCAGCAGACCCGTCTCCAACGTATATTCTATCTGCGACAAAACAGAGCGCCAGGATTCGGAGGTGACCAAGTTGTGCAACTCTGTGAAACGGTTGCTACGATCTCGAAGTCCTAGATCACGTAGCACTTCACAGAAACGCACCTTGGCGCATCGCAGCAAGTCGCGTGGTAGCCCTAAAACGAAACCCAACAGGGTGGAAAACCCTGAATGGTGCTGGTTTCATAACACTTACGGGGATGAAGCCAGAAAATGTCGTAAACCATGCCGTTTTAAGAAGGACCGAACTCGGGAAACGGTCACGCCGGCACGTGCTCACGGCAACCGTAGCCGGCGGAAAAAGCCGTTTGCTCTACGTCACCGACATTAAAACGAAAGTCCGCTACCTCGTCGACACCGGCGCAGAAGTTAGCGTTCTTCCAGCAACGACAAAGGAGCGTCATCTCGACCCATCCTTCAATCTTCAAGCAGCCAACGGCAAGGCAATCGCGACATTCGGGAGACGGTATGCCTACCTCAACTTAGGTTTACGCAAACCTATTCACTGGATTTTCCTCCTGGCAGACGTCTCTATGCCTATCATTGGCATAGATTTGCTGAACCATTACGATCTACTCGTAGATGCTCGCCGTCGACGACTGATAGATAACAACACAAAGTTATCTATTGGCGGCACCACCTATGTAGGTCCGAGTTTAGCCATCGTTAGGACTAAACAATCAGGCGACGCGTCCTACCAGGCAGTTCTGGAGAAATATCCAGAGTTACAACAACCGAAACACACTCTTCCGTGCATAACCAGCAATGTTATGCATCACGTCACAACCACAGGTCCACCTGTGGCATCCAAAGCTCGCCGTTTAGCCCCCGATAAGCTGCAAACGGCGAAAAATGAATTCGACCATATGCTCGAACTGGGCATTATCAGACCGTCGAACAGTCCTTGGGCATCGCCATTGCACATGGTGCCCAAAAAGGATAGCAACGACTGGCGTCCGACCGGTGATTACCGAAGGCTTAACGCCAAAACAACTCCGGACTGCTACCCTATACCCCACGTTTACGACTTGACCGCAACCTTATGCGGCATGAACATTTTCTCGAAAATCGACTTAGTCAAAGCGTACAACCAGATACCTATGGCAGCAGAAGATATCGCGAAAACAGCCATTATTACTCCTTTTGGCCTGTTTGAATTCCTGCGCATGCCTTTTGGTCTTCGGAATGCAGCACAAACATTCCAACGCTTTATGGACGACGTCTTCCGTGGTCTGAATTTTGTTCATGTCTACATAGATGACTGTCTAATTGCGAGTCCAGATAAGGAAACACACCTTAAACATTTGGACCTCGCATTCGAAAGACTCAAAAAACATGGCATCACAGTTAACTTACAGAAGTGTGAAATAGGAGTTGAATCACTCAGCTTCCTTGGGCATACCATTGACAACAAAGGTATACGCCCATTGAGAGATAAAGTGGCGGCTATCACAAACTATCCAGAGCCGACCACTGTGAAACATCTCCGCACTTTCAATGGCCTGGTAAGTTATTACCGAAGGTTTATCCCTAACTGTGCCTCTGTCATGAGACCACTCACAGATCTACTTCGAGGAACTGCGAAGTTCGTGTCTCTGGACAACGCGGCTAGACTTGCTTTCTCCAAAGTCAAGGAAGCCATTTCGAACGCAACCATGCTTATGCATCATGACCCCAATGCTCCTCTGAGTATTGCTGTTGATGCATCTGATTCAGCAATTGGAGCAGTTTTGCAACAGTTGACTGACAACCAGTGGCAACCGTTAGCCTTTTTCTCGAGGCGGCTGCAAGACGCGGAAACAAGATACAGTACATTTGGTAGGGAACTCCTAGCCATGTACTGTTCTGTACGCCATTTTCGACATTCTGTGGAAGGTCGTGATTTCATTATTTTCACAGACCACAAACCGTTAACGTTTTCCCTCAGCTCGGCGTCTGACAAATACTCCCCTCGTGAGTCGCGACAGCTGGATTACATTTCCCAGTTCACGTCAGACATCCGCCACATTTCTGGAGCAAACAACTCCGCAGCCGACGCACTATCTCGAATAGCTTCGATAAACTATATCGAGGGTATTGATCTCGTTGAACTAGCTCGGCGTCAAAAGGAAGACCTTGAGCTGCATCATGAGTTGTCGTCCACAACTCTCAAACTGCGACTTTGTCCTGTTGGATCAGACAAGGATGCAATTTTGTGCGATGTCTCTGCTAGTCAACCACGCCCAATAGTTCCGAAGAGTTGTCGACGCAACGTCTTCAATACGTTGCACAAACTCTCTCATCCAGGTGTACGAGCCACCATTAGGCTTATCGCACAACGTTTCTGCTGGCCTGGGATGAACAAAGACGTTAAGGAGTGGGCCCAGTCGTGCTTAGCTTGTCAAAAGTGTAAAGTCACGCGACACACGAAAAGCCCTTTAGGCTCATTTCTAGCCCCAGACATGCGTTTCGACCACGTCCATATAGATATTGTAGGACCCCTACCAGAATCTAATGGATGTACCTACCTTTTCACCTGTGTTGATCGTTTCACACGATGGCCGGAAGCAGTACCCATTAAAGATATTACTGCCGAAACAGTTGCTCGTGTTTTCGTCGAAAGATGGATCGCGAACTTCGGATGTCCATCCTACGTCACAACCGACCGTGGGCGCCAATTTGAGTGCGGACTATTTCACGCTCTAACGGCACTTTTAGGTTGCACTCGGTTCCGAACGACAGCCTACCATCCACAAGCAAATGGCATGGTAGAGCGTTTCCATCGACAGCTGAAAGCTTCCCTTTCAGCTACAAACATACCTCAGTGGACCGAGGCTCTGCCTCTAGTCCTACTAGGTATTCGTAACGCGTTGAAAGTTGATGCTGGATGCACTCCTGCAGAACTCGTCTATGGGACCACTCTTCGCCTACCAGGTGAGTTTGTTTCCCCTTCAACTTTCAAACATGTTTCCGATAGGGCATCTTACGTGACTAGGCTTACAAACGCAATGCGTTCAGTTAGGCCTTCTCCGATTAGACCGCAAACGACTGATGTTTTCGTCCACCCCAGTTTACAGAAGACATCACACGTGTTTGTTCGCCACGACGCTGTTCGTCGACCACTTGAACCACCCTACGACGGGCCGTTCAAAGTGATTAAGCGACATGAGAAATTCTATGTAATTGAGCGAGGCGGACGCGAAGATACTGTCAGTATCGACCGTTTGAAACCAGCTTATTTCGAAGGCAACCCCATTGTAAGTGACGTTTCAGCTCGCTACATCCGGCCGACGGATGACTCAATTATCGAAATTCTCGACGATGTGCCTGGTAATGCACAGCTGCAACAACCAGCGGCGCAACAAAAAACACGATCAGGTCGAACCGTCAGGTTCCCAGAGTACCTGAAGTCATATTCAACTTAGCTATGTGTGTGCCAACCATTTTTTTTCGAGGCACTATTTTTCTTATTTACCGGCACAAACCCTCGTACACTTTGCCTTTTTATATCAATTTTTATTTACCATGTAATAAAAACTAAAAAAACGGCGAAGATAAGCGTAAATTTTTCTTTTTCGACACGTTTATATATAAATAATTCCCATTTTTACGCAACGTTTTCGTGGTATTAAAGACTTTTATTTATATTCCAGGTGCAACGAGCACTGGACGGAACGTCGAAAGGAACAGATGACCGCGACCGACGTACAATTTCATTTATTGTATTTTATTTATTTAATCGCCACGACACCCTAGAATAAGGTTCAGACAACCAGGGGCCACCTCACGCAGTGAGCCCATCGGAGAGTTTTACCAGTGGAGAAACCACTGGGTTTTTACTTCCGGCTGGTATCGTCTTAGGGTCCTCACGAACCCACTAGGGGGGGAGTGATCTGTAGCGTCATACACTTCCCCAAAATCAATAGCCTAGGGTTTGACGACTTCGACATTGATGCTGACCTTGATAGTTTAACTGGACTCGCTAAGCTGAAGGCATCCGGTCAAGCATCCTCGCCATTTGGCACGCTGTCGTGTTACGTTGCATTGCTCGTATTCGACTCTCTAGCCAGTTAGTTGGAACGCATCGGTATTTTGGCATAACCATCCAAATATACTATTCCATCCGACTACGCTATCGTGTTCTTCCTTGGTCTCGTATTCGTGGGTATATAACAAGTTCGAATAATTAGTGATTGGTCTTTGCGTCTGTCAAGTTCGCACCAGGACAAATCCTAAACCATCAATCGCGGGTATCACACTGCATACCCGCCTGGACAGGTTGACAACGTCCACGCCTCCTGAGCGTTTGCTGTTTGGCAACCATCGCCGTAAACGTATAACAGGGGGAAAAAATCAGTACCGAAACTCTGGAAAACTTGAAAAGGAGTAAGAACCTTAGCGTTATTAGATTCAACCAAACTCGAAACCTAGGTTAAGCCTCGTTACCGTAGTAGGAACAAAAACATGTGTAAAAGTAGGGTAGACTTATGAAATTTGAAGCTTGAAAAGAATTCTTCCGCTAGGAACCAGAGCTTCCCTTGCGTTTTTAACAACGAAAGCTAACTTGCTAAATCACGGTAAGATTACACCTCCTTTCAAAAAGCGCACTCTGGGTATCATCTTAAATCCTTAAGAACATTATTCACTTGTTATTCATACATGAAAAACCCTGAAGGCTACAGCTTGCATCATTGTTGGCATGGCATTTAGGTGTACTGCTTTTGGAGTTTGAGAAATATTGGAGGCTGGACAGTTTTATGGTGCAAAGTTGAGGTTTTGCGTTGCCCAAGGTCACCGTTGCGGTTGTCCTCAAGTGCGTATGATATCTTTGTTATGAAATAACCTGTTATTTATGTTGACTGAAAATGCCAAATTACTGACACTTAATGATAACCTGTGAAATTTGTTCTCCTGGCATTTATTTGTTTAAAACTTATTATAAATCTTCCACTCAAAGTGCATCGATTTAACTGGACTTCAGAGTTATGGTCCCTTTCTCTAGGTCCTCAACTTCCGATTAGTGGGGTGCGGCTTCAAATCGTGCTCCATACACTGGTATCGGGATAACAGACATTATCAGTCGCGCCTAAACATTACCCAGCCAACATTTTCTCGGGAGGACGCGGGGCCATTTTTAAAACACGGGGCAAATCTTGGGGAAACGCTGGCGAAACTCGGGGAAATGTTGCAGAATCCTGCGTTTTGCCCCGAGTTCTGCCTCGTGTTTTCGTGGCAATCTGAAACATGACCCCGAGTTTCGCCCCCCGAAAGTGTTGACTGGGTAGGTTCAACTCACCACCAAGTATGCGAATTCGTACAAATGCAGATTAATCTGCATGTGGTATGACAGTATACAGTCTGCCAGTCAGTGTTGATGTGGTTATAAGGATTGCAGGCCAGTTGGCCTGTGTTAGTCCTTGCAGAAGATATCTCTGTGAAGATCTAGTTTCTCCTTGAACGAGTTAACAAAAGGTGCTGATACTACTTGGTGAAGTAAGGAGTTCCAGTCGTTGAAAACGCTATGTGAGAAACTCAGATTCACTCTAAGTTGATTCGATCGCGGTTTTTGAATTTTCTTGTGATGGCCTAGGAGGTAGTCATTCCTAGCAGGGGAGAAAAGATAGGACATATCAGTACCGAAATCATTATTAAGAATAAGAAATGCCAGTATGAGATCACTCCGTTTCCTACGGTAAGACAGTGGGAATAAGTTTAGCTGATTTAGTCGTTCTTCATAGGACAGATTCGAAAGGTCTGTCACAAGCTTAGTACCTACCCTTTGAACACTCAAGTGCGTCAGCATCCTTTCTAAGCTTTGGCTGGCCGCCTGAATTCAGTACTCCAAGTGGGGTCTGACGTAAGTATAGTAAAGTATTCTGAACATGTGATCAAAACTTTTGAAAGCTCTGAGGAAAGACCATAATACGCGGAAGCCCTTTGCTGCAGCTGCATTACAGTTTGCCGAGGTTTTCATATCATGACTGATGATGCCACCCAAGTCTTTTAATCCAAAGACTGGGAGTAATGGTGTACCATCAACGGAATACTGGAAACAATTGCTATGACCAATGTGCATAATTGCACTTTTGTTAGAGTTGATTTCCAGACACCAGCGTTTGAACCAACCTACTAGTTCATCTAAATCTGTTTGAAGTGCATACCTATCTGCATCACTGCGTATGGCTCTCCAAATCTTTACATCATCAGCGAAGAACAGTACCGAAGAGTTGAGCATTTTTGGCAATTCGTTGATATATAACAGGAAAAGTAGTGGACCTAGGATTGTTCCTCGAGGAACTCTACTCATCACAGGTTTCCACCCGGATAGTGTCCCATTTGCCTCTACTCTTTGCCTTCTATCGTACAGAAAGTCCCTAGTCCAAGCTTGCAATAAAGCACCAAACCCAAAGGAGGAGAGCTTTCCTAGTAATTTCACATGCGACACTTTGTCGAATGCCTTACTGAAGTCTATAAACATGGCATCTATTGGCAGCTTGCAATCTCGGGCTGCAACCCATTCCTCTTTTGCGATAAGGAGGTTAGTTAGACAGGAGTGTTCGGTACGAAAACCGTGTTGTTGTGGTGCCAAAAGGTTGGTTGATTCAACATGTTCAAGTACCTTGTCATGAATTATTTTTCCTAAAATCTTAACAGCTATGCTAGTTAGACTCACAGGGCGATAGTGAGACACCACATGACGACTACCAGCCTTAAAAACTGGGCTGATTATGGCATCTTTCCAGTTTCTAGGGAGGCGAACCTGAGTTAGGGACATATTGAAAAGATCCGTGACTGGCTCAGCAATAATGTCTGCTAGTAAAGATAGAAGTCTGAGATGTAACTCATCGGGACCCGGGGATTTTTCAGGTTTAAGACTAACGAGCAACTGTGAGACTTTCCTTTGTTGTGAACACAGTATCCGTCAGTGGAACAGTGCTGACACCACTAGTGAGCACTCCATCGTAATGATCTACAGAGTTGACTTCACCAAAGTAATCCGATAGATATTCAGCTTTGGACAGATTTGATTCCGCTAGACTATCGGACTTTTCATCCGTCGCCAGATAGGGAATTCTACATTTTCTTTTAGTTCTTCTGATGAGTGCGATCAGTCTTTTAGGATAATTTTGGCAATCCCTCACAAGCTGTTTCTCGTAGGACATTCGAGACGGTGTAATCAAAGTTTTGCTGAGATCACGGACTTTACAGTACTCAGTCTTAAATTTTTCCAGTCTGGTTTCTAGAAACAAGTCCCATAAACGTTTCCTCTGCCTTAATAGTTCCTTAATGTCTTTATTAAACCATGGAGGGCGATGTGAGGATCGTCGTGGAGTCGAAGATGAAATATATGGCGTCGTTACCTCTTCAAATGAAGTCTTAAACGTATTCCATGCATTCTCAATTGGTGAGTCCTTGTCGACGGTCCAATCCTTACTGACTGCGCAATCCCTTATACTTGAAATGTCTGCGCGCCACACATTAGTTCTAGAGGAAGCAGTGTCATAACCAAACGCATTAGTACGAAAACCAAAGGTTATCACTACATTGTCGTTGTTAGCTAATGGAGGGAAGTGTTGTAGATCCAAGATGTCATCACATTGATAGGTTAAAACTAAGTCTTATAACGATGGCTTGTGTTCAAAATCGTAACGTGTTGCACATATTACATTTTGAACTAAAGCAGATTCGAAGACCGTCAGGAGTAAGTCATTTTCGAAGGAACTGCCCGATGCTGAGACTGTTAGCTCCGTCCAGTTTATATGTGGAGCATTCAGATCCCCAACTATTAGGTATCTGTTGCTTCTACTCTAGCTACATATATGGGTTAGCACAAAGTCATTTACAAGGCAGTATGGACTATGGTAAATGACCCCGATAGTACAGAAACCTTGCTCAAAAATGATTAAACTTCAAATACTGACTCAAGTAATTCAAGGTTTATAAGAAAGCCTTTGATGTAGATTACACAACAAAAGCAAAAATGTCAGGTCATCATCATCATCATTATCAACATAGGACCAGGCATTACTGCGTAACGGTCCGAGTTGCCACACCTCATATCAGCACATCAAGTAAAAAGGTAGTGAGGTGAAGGATGAAGATAAGTGAATGCAGTCAAAAGAAATATAAAGTATGAGAAGAAAGGAAAGAGGAGTGACAAAATAGTGAGATTCGGTATAGCGTTGTTAAGATGAGGATAATGTGTGTATACATCTGCGCCACTGACTTCGGTTCTGAGCCATATCACCTAGGGTCTCCAACCACTGGTTCCTCTTGTCCCGTGGACCCCAACCACCTAGTCTGCATCGTCCTACATGGCTTAAACCAACAGTCAGAGACTTCATACATTGGTGCCATGTTTTAGTCTGGCCACCTCGGGCCTTTTTCCAGCCTGAACCCACCTCAGCCAACATTGTGTGACGAGGCAATCGGTGACTAGGCATACGTAGTACGTGTCCCAACCATCTCAGTCGATGAAGGTTCACAACCTCGTCGACTGACTTACCTCTTCTCCCTAAAACTCTACACCTAACTTCTGCATTACTCACATGGTGACACCACGGAATACGTCCTATACTACGAAGGCAACGGTGGTCAAATACCTGTAACCTTCTCATGTCTTCCACTTTCAATGGCCATGTTTCACAGCCATACAGTAGAACAGAGCGGACTGCTGTGCAGTACACGCGACCCTTAATAGACAAACGAATATCACGGCGGCGCCATAGGTGGCGCAAATTGGCAAAAGCCAATCGAGCCTTTTGTATCCGTGCAGAAATCTCATCGGCAACTAACCCACCGGAGTTGATCCTACTTCCCAGGTAAGTGAAGTGGTCAACACACTCAACCACTTCACTCTCTATTGTTAACCGCGGTACCGCTGAAGACCAGTCCTGGAGCAAAAATTTGCATTTGGGTGGTGAAAATCGCATCCCAAACATTCTCAAATTCCCACTCAAAGTGTTCAGAAGACTCTGCATCTTGTCAGCGTCTTCACCTAACAGGACTATGTCATCTGCATATTCTAGATCTAAGGAAAATTCACCTGTGATCCGGTCAACGTCTTTGTAATTAGGTGACGAGAGGGAAACCTCCATAAGAATATCTATGATAAAATTAAATAAGAATGGGGATAGTGGGCATCCTTGACGGACACCACTTGATGAGTATAGCTCCCTGGACAACTCACCATAGGCTCTAACATGCCCACAAGTGTTCGAGTAGAGAGCTTTCAATAAGGTGATGTACTTACTAGGCACGCCTTTCAGTGACAGACACTGCCATAAGACTTCTCGATCAACGGAGTCAAATGCCGCCTTCAGGTCGAGAAATACAGCTATTGTCGGGCGTCTGTAAGCATGCCTATGTTCCAGGACCTGGCGCAGTGTGAATATTTGGTCGATACATCCACGGCCAGGTCTAAAGCCTGCCTGGTTTTCTCGGGCTTGCTGTTCCCGAGCTCCACTCAGGCGTCGGAGAATTATAGAACTTAGGATCTTAGACACTATGTTTGTCAGGCTGATTCCTCTGTGGTTATCACAAGAGGACTTCTCGCCTTTCTTGAAGACTGGGATGATCAGTGACTTAGACCAGTCGGAGGGGATCGTATTTGATTCCCATATACTGGCTAACACTTCCGTTAGCCTGACTAAGAGAACTCTACCACCATTCTTGTATACCTCAGCAGGTAGTCCGTCTGGTCCTGCTGCCCTTCCCCGTTTCAGGCTACCTACCGCTTTCTCAACTTCTTCTAGTGTTGGGGGACCTGTCTCTATGTCCCATTCAGGGTCCGACTGGATAGCGGGCAGCGCA